CTCACTGCTGTCACCCCACTCCCGTCTCTCACTGCTGTCACCCCACTTCCGTCTCTCACTGCTGTCACCCCACTCTAACCTATCGCTGCTGTCACCCCACTCTAACCTATCGCTGCTGTCACCCCACTCTAACCTATCGCTGCTGTCATCCCACGCTCGTCTCTCACTGCTGTCACCCCACTCCCGTCTCTCACTACTATCATCCCACTCCCATCTCTCACTGCTGTCTCCCCACTCCAGCCTATCACTGCTGCCTTCCCGCTCTTCCCTATCATTACTATTTCCCCATTCGCCCCTTTCACTGCTACCTCCCCTCTCACTACTGTCTCTCCGTTCGCTGCTGCCAACTCCCCTCTCTACTCTCTGTCTACTGCTTCGCCGCACCCGTCTTTCATTGCTGCCTCCTCGCACCACTCTCTCAATGCTGGCTCTCTGCTCTCGCCATTCCCTGCTACCTCTATGTACCCTTCTTTCACGGCCACCCCTACGTTCAGCCCTGTCACGGCTACCTCTGCGCTCTCCTCTCTCGCGGCTGCCTCTGCGCTCTCCTCTCTCGCGGCTGCCTCTGCGCTCTCCCCTCTCGCGGCTACCTCTGCGCTCTCCCCTCTCGCGGCTGGTTCTCCGCATTCCTCTTCCTCGGTTGGCCCTCCACTCTCTACTTTCATGGCTTTGCCGCTGTTTTAGTTTAGAGTTTCTTCGTGCTATTCTATCTCGGTTTCCGTGTTGCATCTTTTCACGGTTTCTGTGCCTTGTCCTTGAAAAACTTCTCCATCCCTCTGTTCCATCACTCTCATCGGAGCTCTTTGACTCTGCTTTCTCACTACTTTCAGAACTTTTCCTCTCTCTTCCAGATGGCGAGGACTTTTTCAAATCATCAGGTTTATGCTTCAAGATAGGACCCAGAAAACATTCTTTTGTACTGTAAATAAAAACAAAGTGATTGTATACAAAATTGCACTGTCTTCTTTTGGCCATTGTCTCTCTAGTTTGTTTATCCAATTTCTCCTAGAGAAATAGCTCATTTGTATCTCATTTACTTACACCAACAGTCCAAGTTATGGACAACAGTGCAATGCTCTCCCATATTTGATTCGACATCCTATAAGAGAAAAGTTGGAGCTTTGTTCCTCCCTTTCATTCAATTGTCCTCACCCTCTAACTTAAAGATATATCTCCGAGCACATTTTCAAGGACATAGACAGGCCTTCAGTACCTCATTTGTTTTTTTTTTAAAAAGTTCAGTGGAAATGGGCATCACTGGGCCAGCATTTATTGCTAATCGCTAATTGAACTGAGTAGCTAATGGACCCATTATTCCATCCGTCTTTAATGTTAATTCCAAGGCTAGGAGAACACTAAAATATTCATTATCTATGAAATACATAATGTAGGTCTGCAAGTCTGGATAAACACACAAGTAAAGGATTTACCTTATATCTGCTTGATTTACTTTCTTCAACATTTCTTCAATCTTTGCAGATGGTTTCTGAAAATAATGAATTAAACACACTGGTTATGAACATGAAACTGAAGTGATGATGAACATGTGGAGATCTGAAGCAGGAGTGATTTTGATTTTCAGGCATAGATTCTGGAGACTAACAGTTTAGTAAGAGCTCATGGGAGTTGAAATAGTAAACGAGATTGGAAAGAACAATCTCACAAGGCAAAGTACCTTCTGTAGTTCCACAAATTATGTACTTAATTTTACTGCAAAATTCAATAATTCACTAATGCTAATGTAAGTACAAGTAATGACAAATTTACAACATTTTGGTTTTGAATCAAACAAAATCTAAATCTTTGCACAAAAACAGAAATTGCTGGAAAAGCTCATCAGGTCTGGCAGCATCTGTGAAGAAAAATCTGAGTTAACGTTTTGGGTCCAGTGACCCTTCCTCAGAACTCAAAACCTTTCCTTGGAATGCCAAGCTTTTTACAGGTTTCATCAACATGAAGGAAAGTAAACTATTCAACTTATAACATGCTTAAGTAAGGTTGGCTGTGGTTTTTATCAAGTCCCCGAGGATAACTTTTTTTTACTAGATATTTTTCATCTCCATGCATTTGTCAACTTTTGCATGTTCAAATATATTTTTAAAATAGTCTATGTAAACATGCTAATTTGTAATTACAGCTTCCAACCAATTACAGTGGCAATCTTGACACAGGCAATTACAATTCCTTATGAGAACACAGAAATACAATTTTGTGAGTATATCCATTATATCATACAAACACAATGCTTAATTTTAGTCCAAGTGTGTGTATCTTCAAGACTAAAACATAACTAAATTAACACTGATTCAATAAGAGTATGTCATAGTTAACAGAATAGCAGATAATTTTATATAGAATAAATAATTGTTAAAAAGCTTGTATTTTGAATTATTTTGAGAAGTATTTTCTATTACTTCGTTTTGCATACTTAAATAAACAAAAATATAATGGTCAAATATTCAAAACTTTACGTATAAATATGCCTAGATTTACTTACCTTAAGCAATGGTTGTATTTGAGCAGAAGATATATTCACAGTCAATAATCTACCATAAAATAAAGGATTCCTCCTGAAGTGTTCAATTAAGTTATTAGTAGCAATTTCGGAATCCATTTTCAGGAAAGCCTATTCATTGAATTATAAATATAATCATTATTAAACAATTTTCAGAAGAAATACAATTATTTACCAATTACAACAGCAAAAACAGTAAGATGCTTTATTATCTGTTGCAAATTTTCATTCACTGCAGCTTATCCTCCTCACATCTAAAAATTAAGTCCATCTACCTAATAGCAATCACAGTAGCTTTGTATCTTAAGACTTTGATACCGTACCCTCCCACAAACCATTAAATTATCAACACCTATTTAACTTTTTTGAACTTTAATACATTTAACAAAGTTTATTACTAGAGTCATAGAGTCAGAGACATAGTCAGACAGCACGGAAACAAACCCTTCGGTCCAGCTTGCCCATGCGACCAAGTTTACCAAACTAAGCCTGACCTCAGTTGTTGGTACGATTTTAGAGCCTATTGCTGAGGATGAGACTGCGGAGTATTTGGAAGCGCATGATAAAATAGGGCTGATCAGAATGGCTTCTTCAAGGGGTGGTCATATCTGACAAATCTGTTAAAATATTTTGAGTAGGTAAAGAGCAAGTTAGACAAATGAGAGAGGGTGTGATCTATTTGGATTTTCACAAGGCGTGTGACTAAGTACTGCACAGGAGGTTGCTAAATTAGGTAAGAGCCTATGGTGTTAGGGGCAGGTTTTACAAATATAGGCTGTCCTCGGTGTGCTATTTCTGTGGAGCAGCCTTTCTTAAGTCAGTTGGTTTGAAACCAACTTTCAGTAAAAGGGGCCAAGGTTCCATTCAAGTCTGGAGTCAGTTAGCGAAATTGGCTGGATGGTTGGTTTGTAATGTCGAGTTAGACCAACAATGTGGGTTCAATTTCCGTACTAGCTGAAGTTAACGTGAAGGACTCTGCTTCTTAATATCTCCCCTCACCTGAGACGTAGTGACTCTCAGGTTAAACTACCACCAGCTCCGCACCATCTCTCCTTCAGTCTCTCTGAGAGGGCAGCCCTATTGCCTAGTAGAACCATGACAACTTCACCTTTCACTTTTAATTCTCAGGCCTTGGAAGCAGAAAGACGCTGGGAAAGTACAATATCTATTTGATTTGTACTTCAATATTGTCTCAAAAAATACCTTAACTGGGTACGCAACTATCAAGGATTCTTCATTGGATGGTGCCACTGCTTTTTGGCACTTGCTGCCTGGCACATATCAAATAAAGAACTCAGCAAAGGGGTAACTATGACTTTTCCACAAATGGAATTAGACATTAATACATTCAAATGCACATGCATCCCCAATCTGGCACTTTCATATATCAAGCTGCACGAAGACGTAACTCTTTACTTGAAATAGCTTAAAAATAAACCAGATGTTGCACTACCTTTTCCCCAACTTTTAAATACTTGAGAACCCTTCCAAAACCAGAACCAAGCCTCACAGTATCAAAATCTGAAAAACCGGATGATGGCAAATTGCTGAGGACCACAACTCGACTACGGAGTTCTTTCTGAAAGTAAAAAAAAGTGCAAAGAATATTACAATAGGAGGTGGGATGTATTAAATGCGAAATTTTTCTTTGAGTCTTAAGACCAATACTTTGAAATAAATTAATGTTATAATGACAATTAGCTCTACTTTGCTATACATCATATGGTTCCCAAATGCCAAGAAAATATCAAGTGTTTCCTCAAAGGAGAAAGAAAGGAGGAAATGCAAAGGGCAAAGAAATCTACCGTTTTCTTTTCATTCACTCTCAGGATGTGCCGCCACGAATTTACTTATGAATCTCTAACTGACCTTGAAAAATAGGTCATGAACTGCTTTCTTGAACTGCTGAAAATCATGACACTTCTGGTCATTAGGAAGATCCAAAATCTTGACCCAATGACAAGGACAAAATGGTGATATATTTCCTGGATGGTGTGTGAGTTGGAGGGAAACTGCAACGTGGTCACAATCTCACATGTGTACTGTCCTTGATCTTTTCGACTGTAGAAGTTGCAGGTCATGAAAGTGCTCCTGAAGAAGGCGTAGCAAGTTACTCCTGTGCATCTGACCGAAGACACATTCTGCAGCTGTAGTACGCAGGTAGTAGAGACAGAATAAATCAAGTGGCCTGCTTTGTCTTGGATAGCGGTAAGATTCTTGAGTTTTGGTTGATAGTCACCCATCCAGGCAAACGGAGTTTATTCAATTGCACTCTGGACCTGTGCCTTTTATATTTTAGTGAGTCAGGAGCTATGTTAGTAATTGCAGAACTCTCAGCCATAGCGTTTGTGTGGCTGCTCCTGATACATTGCTGGTCAATGATTATCCCTCTAGATGTTGACAGTGAAAGGGTTCGACCCTGATTATGTCATTAAGTGGTGAGGGGAGATGGTTAGACTCATTTGTTGGAAATGGACATTGTCTGATATTTATATCACATAAATATTACTTGCCATTATCAGTTTAAGTCTAAACGTGTGTGTGTCGTGCCTCGTACAAGCAAAAACTGCTTCACTATTAGAAGAATTGTGAATATAAGTGAATAGCCTGTAACCAGAAGTGATATCCACAGTTGTGACCTTTGAATAGAGGGAAGGCCATTGACGAAACAGCTGAAGATGATTCTGCCTAGCATACTGCCTTAAGGGATTTCTGCAGTGATGTGAAAGGGTAAAATTATTGGCGTCCACAAACCACAATCATCTTCCTTTGTGCGAGGCATTTCTCCAACTAGAGTTCTTATCCTGATACCCATTGACTTCAATTTGACTAGGGATCCTTGTTGTAACACTTGGGCAAACGTTGCCATGATCTACAGAAAAATGGTTCTTCCTTCACCCCCAGAGTTCTACACTTGTTTCCATATTTCAGCCAAATAGATACTGAGATCTGAGCTGAGTTGCCCTGTCAAAAACCAAACTGAAATCAGTAACCTTGTTACTTGTAGATACCATGAGATAACACTGTCAACAAATCCCTCCAAAACTTTTTTGATCATAGAAGGTTGACTAATTTAGCAGCACTTGGTTATATTGTATTTTTCCGTATATCTTGTGAATAAGATATACAAGGGCAATTTTTAAATTAAGTGTCAGTATTGTAACTATATTGCAGCAAGGTTAACACAAACCTTCAGTTCTACTGGCAGGACATTGCTGAGCCCAGAATTCTTGCTGTGTGAAGTTCGCTCAGTTGTTTCTTGATATCACACAGAGTGATTCAAATTGGCTGAAACTGGTATATGTTGATGAAAATCTTAGGATAGAGCATAGACGAAATGTTTGGCTCTTCTGACTGAAGATAGTTACAAATCCTTCAGCCTTTTCCTTTGTGTTCACCTACCGGACTTCAGTATCACCAAGGATGGGGATGTTCATGGAGAGTTCTCCACATGTATTTTTTTATTCATTCATGGGGTATGGACGAAGCCAGCATTTATTTCTCATCCCCATTGCCCAGCGGGCAGTTAAGAGTCAATCACATTGTTGTGGGGCTGGAGTCACATGTTACATACCAGATACCAGATGAGGATGGCAGATTTCCTTCCCAAAGGGTCTGTTTCCATGCTGTACATCTCCATGACTCTATGGTTAGTGAAGCAGAAGGGATACTTAGTTAATTGCCCACCTCCGTTCATGAATGGACTTTGATTGCTGTGATTCGATCTATTTATTGTGAAGTTGCTTGGCTGTCTATATTACACTGCTTCCATTGTCTAGCATGCATTTAAATCCTGTGTTGTAGCGTTACCAGGTTAGCAGCTCATTTTTGAACAGGTCTAGTACTGCTCTTGGCACTCATTCATACAGGGTTCCTCCTCTGGCTTGAAAGTAACAATAGAATCAAGAGAGTATTGAGTGGTTAGACATTCAGTGAGATTTCACTTGTTGATTGATATGCTGTCAACATTAAGTTGTAAACATAAAGAACATATCCTAATTGCGATAAAGTCAGAGGGCTGCTCAATGCTAAAACTGATGGTTTGAGGTGATTGAGACTTTGCAAGGGGCTCTTTCAATTCCTTTAACTTTCTTTTGGAATTCAATCTGCTGTTTACATCATTTTCTTCCCTGGGAGACCACTCTATTCCAATTACCCAGCTCTTGGTCTGGAAGTTAAAGTTTTTTATTAAGCGGAATAAGGGTTTCTTCCTGTACTATTCTTTCATGTGGAGATAGCAAGATGCTGGAGTCAGAGTCAATACAGTGTGCTGCTGCTGTGTCCTTCCAGCTCCACACAGAGTTGACGAATTCTTACATGTAATATATTTCACAACATTATCACTCTCTGGATAAAGAGAGTTCTCAATCCTTCTAATTCTTTCACCAACTACTTCACATCTGTGCTCCCAGATTATTGACCAGTTTGCTGCAGAAACATAGTGAGAACCCAGATGATTATGGTTAAAAAGGGTGAAGCTTTTAAAGGGAAGCTAGGTAAGGTGGGAAGAAGGAATAGGAGGATATAGAGAGATGAACTAAGGTGGGAAGATGCTTATGGAATGGAACTGAACAGTACTTCATGTTTGTGCCAGCTCTTTGAAAGAGCTAACAAAAACAGAAGCTGCTGGAAAAGCTGAGCAGGTCTGGCAGCATCTGTGAAGAAAAAATCAGAGTTAACGTTTCGGATCTGGTGACCATTCCACAGAACTCAGTTAACTCTGATTTTTTTTCTTCACAGATGCTGCCAGAACTACTCAGCTTTTCCAGCAACTTCTGTTTTAGTTCCTGATTTACAGCCTCTGCAGTCCTTTCAGTTTTTCTTTGAAAGAACTATCCAGTAAGTTGCACTTGACATCACTCTGTCCTCAGCCTTGAAAACTTCTCCCTTTTAAGAACATAACCAGTCCTTTGGCACCCACCGGGACTGTGCAGTCTACCAATCCTGTTACGGATTGATGCATGTTTGACAGGTAGAGGGGCAAGGATGAACTCAAGTGTTTTTTTTCTCCCCATGCTAGTTCTCCAGATACCTGCTGCAGGCCCAAAATGGCAAATATGCCCTTCAGGACTCAGCCAGTAAAGGTGTGATTGATGAGAGATTAAAATTCCCATCAAGAGTTCATTCTGTGTCCTTGCTACCTTCAGGATTTCTGAGCATTATTCAATGTGGAGGATCCGTCATTAATTAGCTGAAGGAAGGATGTAGGTGATAATTAGCTAGAACCTTCCTTGCCCGTGTCTGACGAAATTTTCCACTGGGCTCTTCAAAACCATAAGTAATAAAGCTCACAGTAAAACTCACCTCTTACCTTCCCTGGCAGGAATAAGTAGTACTGGATGATCTAAAGAGACCAACTTGCCATCCCATTATGTGGAATTTGGGTAAGAATCATCTGAACCCTCATGGAGATCCTTCCACAATTCTGAGTCTAATGATATACAATGAAAGGTAACTATTTGCTTCAGATTGAAGCAAAAAAAAAGGGCAGATGTTTGGAAGAATGTGATTTTATATTAAAGCACATCAATGAGCCAAACATATTTACTTTATGAAAAAAGTGTGGGAAGCTAAAAGGGCAGAGGTCAACAGAAGTACACCATTTCCAATTAGCCGACATTTTAACTGAAATAAAGACCACCATAAGAATTCAGTTGTCAAAATTGAAAGGGAAATTTACAAAAAAGACCTCTAGCCTACATTTTCAATTTCAATATACCAATTCTATACTGTATTCAATTCTATACTCAGTCAGAAGTCACACAACACCAGGTTATAGTCCAACAGGTTTATTTGGAATCACACAAGCTTTCGGAGCATAGCCCCTTCGTCAGGTGCAGTGTGTACCAGACTGCACCTGACAAAGGGTCTGCGCTCTGAAAGCTTGTGATTCCAAATAAACCGGTTGGACTATAACCTGGTGTCGCGTGACTTCTGTCTTTGTCCACCCCAGTCCAACACTGGCACCTCCACATCAATTCTATACTCAATAATGGATTAAGAAAATATTGCATTTTTAAGAATTACAGTTACATTGTAATAAAATTTACACTGACCAGATTTTCTCGTTTGCTTTGTTCAGGAAATTCTAAAATGAAAAAAAGCATTGCAATGAGGTTGCTTTCAATGCAGTTACCTTCAGAGATTGACCAAAGATTTGATGAATATTAAAATTGTAACTTAATAACTGAATTACAGTTCAAGTTCTCTCAAATAACCTGCAGTTGATTTTCTTTTCTTGTATTGTACCTTCCAATACAGTGAACAACCAGTACAGCATACAACTGTATCATGACTAAATTGCAAAAATTAATGAATATCACACTTACAGTAAAAAAAAAAACTTCAACATGTCAACCGCATAAAAACGAAAAAACACATGCTGGGTTAGAGCACAGTTTCGGTGTATGTGAATTATTAAAATCAAGCCAAAGCATTTGCTAAAAGTACTCTGACTTCAATTTTGCAGTATTTAATGATGGTGAAGCTAACAACAACTTATGGAGAGGCCCATTTATTGTGAAGATTGGAGATCCAGGAGTTGTCAGTGATTCTACGTTTCCCCACAGACAGCAGTTTTTCTGTAAAATTCACATCTGGGACATATGGATGTTGCAGGCTGGGCCACCATTTATTGCGAATCCCTAACAGTCCTGGAAGTTTTGGTGAGTGCCTTTCTGAACCACTGTAGTCCATTTGGCGTAGGTAGGTGTACAATGCCGTTAGAGAGAGACTTCCAGGATTTTGGCCCAGTGACACTGAAGGAATGACAATATATTTCCGAATCTGGATGGCAAGTGGCTTGGAGGGAAACTTACAGATGACAGTGTTCCCATGTATCTGCTGCCTTTCTTCTTCTAGATGGTATTTATTGTGGGTTTGGAAGATGCTGCCTAAGGAGCTTTTGGTGAATTTTTGCAGACCATCTTGTAGATAGTAAACACTGCTGCTACTGACCATTAGTGGTGGAGGCACTGAACATTTGTGGATGGTATGCCAATCAAGACCAGAAGACCAAAATATGTAGGAGCAGAAGTAGGCCATTCAGCTCAACAAGTCTGCTGTCATTCAATGAACTCATGGCTGATCTGATAATCCTCAACTTCACTTTCCTGCCTTTACTCCATAACCCATGATTCTCTTATGGAAGCAGGCTGACTTAGATGGTGTAAAGCTTCTTGAGTGTTGGTGGAACAGGCAAGTGTGAGTATTCCATCAAGCTTACAACTTGTGGGCAATGAACTAACTTTGGGCACTCGGGTGGCAAGTTACTAGCTGCAATATTCCTAGCCTCTGACCTGCTGTTGTAGCCACTGTGTTTATATAGGTAATGCAGTAGAATTTCTGGTCAGTGGTAACCCCAGGATGTTGATAATGGAGGATTCAGCAATGGCAATGCAGTTGACCATCATGGGGAAATAGTTACATTCTCTCTTTTTGAAGACTGCCATTGTTTGGCATTTGTGTGGGGCAAATGATATTTTCTACTTGTCAATCCAAGCCTGGGTATTGTCCAAATCCTGCTGCATTTGGACAAGAATAGCTTTAGTATCAGTGGAGTTATGAATGATGCTGAACAATGCACCATTAGCAAACATACCACTTCTGACCTTCTGTCACTGAAGCAGCTGAAGATAGCTGGTCCAAGGACATTACCCTGACGAACTCCTGCAGAGATGTCCTGGAGCTGACATGATGTACCTCCAACAATCACAACCATTCTTGTTTCTTCTCATTATGACTCCATCCAGTGCAGAGTTCTCCCCTGATTCCCACTGATTCTAGTTTTGCTAGGGCTAAGGCTCCTTTGTGTCACATAAGTTAAATGCAGCCTTGATGTCGAGGATTGTCACTCTCACCTCACCTTTGAAATTCAGTTCCTTTGTATATCTTTGAACGAAGGCTGTAATGAGGTCAGCAGATGAGTGGCCCTGCCAGAAGGCAAACTAGGTTCCACTGAGCAGATTATTGTTGAGCGGGTGCTGCTTAATAGCACTGTTGATGACACCTTCTGTCACTTTACTCATGACTGAGAGTAGACTGATTGGGCAGTAATTGGCCAGGGTGGATTTGTCCTGTTTTTTGTGTCAGGACATACTTGGGCAGTTTTCCACATTATCAGGAGATGCCAGTGTTCTAACTGTACTGGAACAACTTTACTAGAGACATGACAAGCTCTGAAGCAGATATCTTCGGTACAATTGCCACAATGTTTTAAGGAGCAGTAACCTTTGCAGTCTCCAGTTCCTCCGCACATTTCTTGATATCAAATTAATTGATGATTGTGAGGCTTCTGGAGGAGGCCAGGGTGGAGCATGTACTCGGCATTTCAGGCTGAAGATTGTTGCGATTTTACACTGATGTGCTGGGCTCCTCCATCACTGAGATGAAGATATTTGTGAAACCGTCTCTTCCAGTGAGCTGTTTAATTATCCACTAGCATTCAAGGCTAGATGCAGCTGGACTCCAAAGTTTAGTAGCTTTGTGTCTGTTGTAGAATCGCTTAGCCCTGTTTCTTGTCTCTTTCTTAGCACACACAAAATCTTGTTTCTGAGTTTCTGAGACCAATATTTTTAAGTATGCCTGGGGCTGACCCTGGCATGCTCTCCTGCACTCTTCAAATGAATCAGGATTGATTCTCTGGCAGAGAAAGAGTGGGGAATGTGCTGGGCCATCAGATTGCAGATTGTGATAGAGTACAATTCAATTGCTGATTATGGCCCATAGCACCTCCTGGATGCTCAGTCTTAAGTTGCTGGATTTGAAATAGTTTTTTCCTGGTACATGTGGACAACAATGATGTGTGGTGATCTTATATATTATAGACTGACACAATGCTCTGACTAAAATAGTGGCCCTATGGTGTAGATTTCCGAAAGCATTAAAAGTCCTTGGATGATTTTTTTTTCCTCTCTCACGAGATGCTTGCAGTACCGGCATTTTGCTTTCTGTGGAAGGTTTACTAATTAAGACTATTTTGACACCCTAATTCATTCCCATGCATCTAACTGATTTTGTAAACATCTTTCAATATTGCAGTCAATCCAATTAGTAGATCGGCCCTTGGATAGAGTGGTAGAAGTTTCATTTATTGTGGATATCCTGTGAAAGAAAACTCACCCACATACTGAGGAAGGAGAGGAGACAAAAATCTGAATGAACTGTCGAAGAGGAAAAGAGTTCCAGTAAAGTTGAGAGGATGAAGCAAAAGCAAAAGGAAATACTGAACTGGGAACTAGTTGCGGTTTTGGTGGGGGCGGGGGGGTATATTCAACTTGTGAAATGATTGCATTAAGGAATAAACCAAATGATAAACAAAATTATAAATGAAACAAAGCAATATCAGTGGTCTCTGAAATTATTTTTACCTGTGTTTCTTTTGATCTTCACCTTTTTTTTCAGGACAACAATTGGAGCTTTGGTCTTCTCTGGACTTTTCCTGCACGCAACAAAAAATTTACAGGAGTACTACAACTTAATAATTGGAGCAGAAGAGGTTTCAATGAAGAGGAGAGTTGCCATGACAATTAAAATACAAGGAAAACCAATGTTAATAATTTGCATAAGCTCAAACAATTAAATATCATATAAATTTTCCCTCAGAATTGAATAACAGGCTTTTCTATTTACTATTAATTTTGCATCAAATTGAAAGATTACACTTAAATTAGATCCCACTCTACAAACAAACATAACTGGTCATGTAGATTTTGCAAGTGATGCTTTTATAATCCTAGCAAAGTATCTACAATAGAAGAAACTTACTTATGTTACGTAACACTCTTGAAAGACAAAAGGTAAAACACTGAAGATTTTAGAAATTTTGAAGATAAACCAGAGATTGGAAATACTCAGGCCAGGGAGGACCTCTTGAGTGAGGGACATAGTTAACATTCTAGATCTGTGACTTTCCCTCAGAATGAGAAAACTTTAAATATGATCAGGTTAGCATCAATTCCAGGGTAAGATGTTCTGGAAGGTGCAGACAAAGAGCAATTCTCCCTTTTGTTCTTTCTTCCTTCCTTTCCCCATCACTTTCTCTAAACTCGTGCTTGCTTAACTGCTATTAATAGCACAATAATTTTTAATTTTGATGAAGGTCACAGCTAGAAAAACATCATTTCTATTTTTCTCTCTGAAGAGGTTTCTTGACTTGCTGAATATTTCCAGCATTTTTAACTTACATCTCAGAAGACCAATTGTCAAATGGAAGTTCTGAGTTCTTAGTGATATTATTTCTTCATGTGCAACAACTAATTCTCACTGCACTGTCAGTCCAATTGAAGCATGAGAAAGCCCAAGAATCTAGTTTCCTTTTGCCCATGATTGTTGCAGCAACAAAACTACTGTTTAAATCTAATGTATATTTCTACATTTAAAGGAACTCTTGTCCATAAGACACACAGACTGTCTAATTTGTCTAAGTGACCATTTAAACTCCAGTATAAAAATATCAATTCTCCATGCAGTCTTTGTCCCCAGCATCCATGTCAACATTACTGCATCTTGACAAGGTGTGACCTTGATATTCTGTCCATGTTCAATGCTGTAAGCCAATGACACCAAGCAACTTATCAAGCAAAGAACTCACCCACCAAAGAAATAAAATCAGTAAAACCAAGATTTGAGAACTCAAGTTAATCAAAGACTAATCAAAAATTATGGCACACAAACCAAGAATGAAAAACAAAAATTCAGCGCATTAAGCTCACTTCTTCCACTGGCTACATGAATACATAGGAACCTAAGAAATCTGAGGAGTAGGCCATTCAGTCCTTTGAGGCACCTCCATTATTCAATACAATTATGGCTGAATTTCTACTTCAGCTCCATCTTCCCACACTATACTCTTATTGTATCCCTTACTATCCAAAAAATCTGTCAACCTCCAATGTGAATACCAATCAACATCATCAATTCTCTGCAATAGAGAACGCTAAAGGTTCACAATTCCTTCCTGTCCTAATGATCCACAGTTTAATTACCATATCATTCTAAAACGTTGAACTACTATGGAGCAGCTTCTATCCACACAGGTCATTCCACTTACTTTGTATCTGGCAGTTCTCCTGGGTTCCAATCTGGGTAGCTAGAAATAAAACAAGTGTTAACTTGATTAACAATGTAATGGGCACCGTAGTGAATGATCACATGACAAAAAAAACTATAAAGCCATTGTCGATAGAGACAATACATGACAGTTGCTAAAATTCTGCAAGAACAGAACTTTTTTTTTCAGCTTGGCCTTTCTTAACAGCCAATGCCTCTCTTCAAATTGCCAGACTAGATAATCATCTTACAATAATATTGATAGTCAAAGAATATGAACACGGTGAGCAAAAAAAAAGCTTTTTTCTGATATACCACTGAAAACTGTAAAGCATCAATGATGCTCATTGTACAATTCCAGAAATTAATATCACAAGATGAGATTCATGTAACTTATTTAAACATCCTGCAACCTTATATCCTACCAATAAAAAAAACCGGCACAAACGCCGACGTCAATAATCAATTCCTAATATTAATACATACACTCTCTGAAGAAGCAGACAACGTAGCTTGTGTAATGGATCATTCATGTGGCCATTCCAATCCTGTACAACATGAAAAAGATTACAGTGTTTCAATAACAAAAGGCCGTACAATTATAAATAGATAATATTTCAACCTCATCAGAAATCAAAATCAAAAACTCCAGGAAGTAGAATTAATTTTGTTAATTCAAGCAAATTGACCAAAAGCATGCTTGTATACATTACAGAGCAGTGAGGATAGTGAATGTGGAAGTCTCCAGTCAGAATGTTCCTGAAAAATCACACCAATTTTACAAGACATCATCTGAACTCCCCGTTGATTCTAAGTTCCATGTTGAAACTTATGATTATTTATTTGTATTCTGTATTCAGTTTGAACAAATCTAGATATGTACCATGTGAACTAATACATCAAACACAGCCACTCTCAATCAAACTGGAGCATGCAAAGTTAAAATGTAATACATCTGCCAACACAATTTTTAATGCAATTATTTAGATTTGTGAAGCAACATTATGAAATAGGATACAGCAATAAATTCATAAAATGAGCTGCAATGTGAGAATCTAATCAAGGAGAACAAATTTTGAAGAGTATAAAGAGTGTAGGGGCATTCTTAAGGAAATCAGGAAGGCAAAGAGGAGATACGAGACAGTTTTGGCAGATAAGGCTAAAGATAATCGAAAAAGATTCTACAAATACGTTGACAGCAACTAGAGAAAGAGTAGGACACCTTAAAGATCAAACAGGTCATCTTTTGTTGAACCTCAGGAGATGGGAGAGATATTAGATGAATATTTCACGTCAGTTTTTACTGTTGAGAAAGAAATGGAGGCTGAAGAACTCAGGTAAATAAATATTGATGTTATGGAAATAGTTCACATTACAGAAGTGAAAGTGCTGGAGTCTTATAAAATATAAAGATAGATAAATCTCCAGGACCTGATGAAGTGTATCACAGGATGTTGTGGGAAGTCAGGGAGGAAACTGCAGGGCCTTAAACAGAAATATTTGTATCATCTATAAACACAGATGAAGTACCTGAGGACTGGAGGGTGGCTATTGTTGTGACATTATTTAGGAAAGGCTGTAAGGAGAGGCCTGAAAACTATAGACCTGAGAGTCTGACATCAGTGGTGGTAAGTTGTTGCAGGTGATTTTGAAAGATCGGATTTACATACATTTGAAGAGGCAAGGATTGATTTGGGATAGTCAGCATGGTTTTTTGAAAGGAAAATCGTGTCTCACAAACTTGACGAGAGATTTTTGAGAAAGTAACCAAAAAGACTGATGAGGGCAGAGCAATAGACATTGTTTTCTTGGACTTTAGTAAAACCTTTGACAAGATTCTGCATGGTAGACTAATTAGTAAAGTTAGATCACATTGGATTCCGGGTGAGCTTGTCATTTGGACACAAATTGGCTTTACGGTAGGAGACAGAGGGTGGTGATGGAGGGTTGTGTTTTGGACTGGAGGCCTATGACCAGGTGTGTTCCAAAGGGATCGGTATTGGGTCCACTTTTGTTTGTCATTTATATAAATGATTTGAATTAGAAATAGGAGGCGTAGTTAGTAAGTTTGCAAATATCACCAAAATCGTTGGCTATAGTGGACAGTAAAGAAGGTTATCTAAGAACATAGAACAGTACAGCACAGTACAGGGCCTTTCGGCCCACGATGTTGTGCCAACCTATTATCCTACTCTAAGACCAAACTAACCTGCATACCCTACATTTTACCATCATCCATTGGCCTATCCAAGAGTCGCTTAAATGTCCCTAATGTATCTGACTCTATTACCACCACTGGCAGTGCATTCCATGCACCCACCATGCTCTGTGTAAAGAACCTACCTCTGACATCTCCCCTATACCTTCCTCCAATCACCTTAAAATTATGCCCCCTCGTGATAGTCAGTTCCACCCTGGGAAAAAGTCTCTGGCTATCCACTCTATCTATGGAAAGTTACAAAAAAGATCTTGATCAACTGAGTCAATGGGCTAAGGAGCGGCAGATGGGCTTTAATTTGGATAAATGTGAAGTAAAACAAACATGGGCAGGATTTATACAGTTAATTGTTAGACCCTGGTTAACATTGTAGAATAGACAGACCTTGGGGTTCATGTACATAAATTTTTTGAAATTTGCTTCACAGGTAGACAGGGTGGATAAGATGGCATTTAGCTTGCCTTCATTGCTCAGATCTTTGAGTATAGGAGTTGAGACGTCATATTAAGGTTGTACATCACATTGATGAGGCGTCTTCTGGAGTAGAGTGTACAGTTCTGGTCGCCCTGTCATAGGAAGGATATCAGTAAACTTGAGAGGATTCAGAAATGATTGACCAGGATGTTGCCAGGAATGAAGGTTTTGAGATAAAAAGAAGACTGGAAAGGCTGGGACTTTTTCCATTGGAACATAGGCGGTTGAGGAGTGACTTTATAGAGGTTTAGAAAATCATGAGAGGCATAGATAAGCTAAGTAGCAAGGGTCTTTCTCCTAGGGTGGGGGAGTGCAAAACTAGGGGGCATATTTTTAAAATAAGCGGAGAAAGATTTAAAAGGACATGAGGGGCAATGAACCACAGAGTGGTTCATGTGTGGATTGAACTGTGAGGGTAAGTGGTGGATGTGGGTGCAGTTACAACATTTAAAAGACGTTTAGATAAGTTCATGAGTCGCAATGTTTTGGAGGGATATGGGACAAACGCAGGCTGGTGGGACCAGTTTAGTTTGGGAACATGGTCAGCGTGGACTGGTTGGACGAAGGGTCTGTTTCAATGCTGTATGATTCTATGACTCAATAAGTAATGCCAGATATCATTAGAATTAGATATTATCAAGGAACTCACCTGGAGAGTATCAATTATTTTGTCACACAGTGAGCAGCAGTGTGGAAGCACCACAGGCAAGTAACCAAGAAAATCCTTTATGTTTTGCAGAATAGGAGTTTTCCTTTTTGTCTCAAGGAGAGATTCTTCTTCACATGGCATGTGATGTTCCTCAACTATTTCGTAATCAGATTCAGTTTCGGAATCAGAATCAAATTTACTTCGACAATTTGGGGACTCAGTGAAATGTCTCTCTTTTTTACGAGAACCATCACCACTTACTTCTTCCCGTTCAGATCCAGGACTGGACTCTCCAGAGGAAGGATCATAGCCATAGTTGACTAGTGGCTTGATCACAGTGCCTTGACCTTTTGTCGATGGTTTTTCTTCGATGCTACCATCACGAGAAGTACCGGTGGATTGGTTTTGTTGTGGAGAATTGTCACTTTTCCCATGTTTCAAAGATGCTCTTTTCTTCTTAATTTGCTTAAGAATCTTCGGCAATGTGTCAAGTGTAAGTTTGTCTTTAGGAAAGCCCTTCACTTCATCTAGATCCTTAGATGAAAGGCCAAGAACAGCTAATATATTACTTGTCTTCTGTGAACTGACTGGTTTTTTAACATGTGAAGATAACTGGTCTTGTTGTTGAGCCTCAAAAGAAGGCAAACTACTTTTGGAAATGTTGATTTTGCGAGAAGATGCACTAACTGAAGTCTCATCTTGAGACTGCAGTTCAAAGTTCTGACTGGATTCCACAACTTGTTCAATTTTCTGATCTCTTCCTAAATGTATCGTACCGCATGGAATGTGGCTCAGTTTCTCAAATTCTATTTGAACGGGGGATTGGTCAGACAGGTCAACATTCGCAACTTGAAAATGAACCTTTTTTGCACTGCCAATTACGTGCTGACCCTTTGACATTTTGACAGTGCACTACATCAAGTCTGCTGAAATTGTCTGCTATATTGAACCCTCAGTAGTAATAAGAAATTATAGGAATGTTGTCCAGCTTTATAAAAACAAGATTAAATAATCTTGCTGATGTTTCCGAGCTGAAAGGTAAAGAAAAAATGTAAGAACAAAGTATTTAAATCACTTGTAAATCAAATTTTAAAAATTAACTAAAACTTTTACAGTAATTTGAAGAGCTATTTTAAAAACCATAAAAGGGACAACATGTTTCATGTACATCAATTTGGATATACAAATAAGTGTGGAAAACTGAGAACCTATAAGATTAAAAAAGCTACGCTTGCAGGTCGTGCAGGTAATATAAAAGCTAAACATGCTATATTCACAGTATTTGATTATGCAATTGTAGTAGTGCAGCTGTTGTTGTGTACATGAATACTCAAAAAGCATTCGATAAAGTACCACAAAGGAATTTTTCAACAACATTGAAGCCAATGGAATAAAAAAAAAAGCAGCAGGATGGATACTAAATTGGATGAGGGATAGAAAACAGGATGTTACATTTTCCATTTCCCAGACTGGTGGGAGGTAACATACCCCAAAGTTCACAATTACTGCTGTTTTGAGACATATATCTGACTTGGGGATACAGGGCTCACTTCTCAAAATGCAGATGTCTCAAGACTTAACATGTATTAAACTATGAGGAAAATGAGTATAAATGGCTTCAAGAGAACATAGACAGTTTGCTGGAATCAGCAAATAATGTGTCAGATCAAATTCAATGCAGAAAACTGTACAGTGATTTTGGAGAAGAAATGGTGCTATTTTAAAGAGAATAGGAGAAGAAAGACACCCTGAGGCTGTTTGTGCAGGTGGCAGGACAAATTAGTAAAGTCATTAATGTAGCTTATGGAAGCCTGGGCTTTATAAAAAGAAACCTGGATTTCAAATGTTAGGAAATTATGCTAAACCTATATAAAATCCTAGTTTGACTGCAGCTTAACTACTGTGTCCAATTCTGGGCATTACACTTCAGGAAGGATGTGAAAGCTTTGGAGAGGGTAGAGAGAAAAATCATTCAATAGAATGAGACATATGATTATGTAGATAGACTGAAGAAGCGAGAGTTCTTCTCCATATCACAGACAAGGCTAAGAAATTTGATGGATGTGTTTAAGATCAGAAAGGGTTTAGACAAGAGTAAATTAAGAGAACTATTGCCTTTGGCTAAAAGGAAAACATCAAGGGGGTAAGTTTAAGATGACAGATAAAAGATGCATTTAGGATGCAAGTGAAAACTTCTTAAAAGATGTGTGTACACCATCTGATAGAATGGAAGATCAATAGTCATTTTCAAATAGAAACTGGATAGAAGGCAAAAATGTTTCAGGGATATGGGATTGAGAAAGGAAATGGGATTGAGAAAGGAAATGGGATTAACTGGATTGCTCACTGAAAGTTGGTGCAGACTCAAACATACCAAATATCCTTCTGTGCCTGCACTGTTCTATAACAGGCAAAACAAGAAATGAGAGTCAGAATCAGCACAGGCATGGGCATACTTTGTATCATTGATAAAGGTGAGACAATAAACAATCAATGTCTCAGTAAAAGCTTCAGTTTATTTCCTATGAAATATAAACCAAAGTAATTTTCCCTATCAGTTACTGGCCCAGTCAACTTCATCCTTGATCAGCATTGCACTCAATTCCTTTGTGCAACAGTGGGCATGCATGCACTTGTAAATAAGTACCCAAAAGCAGGAATAACGTAGCTTCCTGTTGACAGTACAATAGTCTCTCCATGCTGGCGCGCAGGATCGCATCCACAGTTTTTTTTCAGCTAAGGTTTTATAGCACAACTGACCATTGTTATTTTCTGACCACAAAGAAAATTACTGGCTGAAAATGGAAAATGAGTGAAGATGCAGAAGCAGCAGGAGAGATTATATCACAAGTCCTTTCCAGCTTTTACTGAGTACTTATTGAAAGTTTGATTTAGTCATTGCAAACTGAAGGGTTTCATTGCTCAAACATTCTTTTCCCACAAAAAAGGCCAAAAAAGATATAAAATGGAAAGGCAAACACCTACATAGTTCAACAGGTAGAAAACTCTCTACCAAGACTGAGAAAATAACCATGAATTAAAGCAGATACATAAGCAATGTTTGTCAATGGATACATGTTTGCAACACACGTAGCCATTTCTACAGCAGCTGTCTAAATGTGCTGTATAGATTAATTTCAAAGTAAATGTACCACAAGGTTTTCTTACAAAAGTGAGGAAGAACAAACATGCAAACTCATGAGTAAACTGTAGGAGTAAATTCAGAAAAGCAAGTCAGGTGAAAATAAATAATTAGGAAGTGGGAAACATGCTGAGACACAGATCCAGAAAGAAGCACCAAGCTTTGTAATCTTATCTGTGAGCGCACCTTGAGATTATAATAAATTAGATTTTCTAAATAATGCCCCACATTACCTGAGAAAATTTAACACAAAATGCTTTCCATAAAGATGCTGCTTAGATACAAAACTAACATGGAATGCAAAATCTATTTAAAAACCCTAAACCCTTTAGTATAATTTGAACTGTTAAGGTGATTACTACATTCAATATGCCATAGATCAACGCTTTTTTAATTGGAATTCAACTGCACCAGACAGTGTAAATGTTAAGTTATAAAATTAAAACTATCACCATAAGAAAAACATTTTTAATAGAAAAGCAGCAAATATGAGTACAACATTCAGAATCAGAATCAAAATCCATATAATGTGGAAATCCTGAATATAGGAAGTATAAATTATCATTTGGTCATTTTTAAACAAGTGTTGTATCCACTGACAATCTCCCTCACAATGTCTGACATTTCTGCTCTACACCATATGCCACATTAACTGCATCGCTGTGCCTCCACACTACAATAAGGGTTTTAGCATTCCTTCCTAATACCCCCAAATCTGTAAGGGTTTTACCAATTTGCACTCCCTCGGGGTGGTATTATATTGTCCTATCATCAGTTGGTGGGACGGGGGTGGGGGGGTGTGGGGATTATTGCCATTCACTCCCAGTAAGGGTATTACCAACCCTCACCCCAATCGGGAGTTATTCCCCTTCCTAACGTGGTTGGGCTTTATTATTATCCCAAATCTCCAATCTCAGAACACCCCATACCTTGGAAGGGGCTTGTTAATGTCCCTTACTACCAGTAGGAGTATTAGGGTCCCTCACCTCCAGTGAGATATGACCATCCTTGCACTCATTAGGCATATTCCTCCGTCTGACTCCCAAGAGGATATTTCTGTCATCAGCAGTGGAGGTTGGAGGAGGTTGTTGGTCATGGATTACTGCGACCCTCAGTGGGAATATCACTCACTGGGGGATTTTGCAGCACCTCCCTAACTGAGTATATTACTGTCTCTATCACTGGGCCAAATTACTGCCACCTCCCTGGAGTTTATTAATTTCACTCTCACTGGAGATATTACACTGGGAAACACTGTAAACCTCAATGGCAGCATTACATGGGGATTGACTTCTCAGTGGAGTATGCGTGACCCCTGTTCATTGCTAGTACGAGTGGTTCTTCTATTCAGCACCTTTTCAGAGGGCATTATTGTCCCCCTCATAGTGGGTGTTACAGCTCCCTCTCTGGGAGATTATTACACCCCTCAGGGGGTATAAATGACCCCACTCTGGGAGATTATCATCCCCTCAGAGGGGATTAGAGCCCCCATCTGATATTATCGCCCCCTCAGAGGGTATTATTGCCCCTCTCTGGTATTGATGCCGCCCTCAGAGCATTATTGCCCCTCAGAGGGTATTATTATTGACCCCTCACGGGGGGGGGGGCCTCACTGCCCCTCCATCCCAGTTTCCCGCATTTTCCTTGTGGCTCTATTCCCCTCAGATTTGATAAAAGATGGTGGCGGCTCTGCCAGGGAGCAGACAAATTGCAATGTAAAGCGGGTCAGACAGCGACACTGACTCACTGGCAGTGGTCCTCAGCTGGGCCCGAGGGTGAGGTGGGGGTTATATTGGTTGCAGGAGTTTAAACCCCTCTCTTTCATTGCCCCTTCTGTCTGTCTCTCTCTCTGTGTCTCTGTCTCCCTCTCTCCAGCTCCTCACCAACTTCCGTTGACCGTCGAGCGGCTGCAGCGCAGGGGGGAGGGGGGAAGGCCCATGATGCACTGCGCGGCCCCGCCCCCTCCCATCCTCCAGCACTTTCTCCCCCGGTGCCAGGACTTCCACACTGCCCCGCGCGGCCGCGGCGTCCGCCAGGCGCCAGGACTCCCCACACTAGCCCGCGCGGCCCCGGCGAAGACTAGGCGCCAGGACTCCCACACTGCCCCGCGCGGCCACGGCGACGACAAGGCGCCAGGACTCCCACACTGCCCCGCGCGGCCACGGCGACGACGAGGCGCCAGGACTCCCACACTGCCCCGCGCGGCCACGGCGAAGACTAGGCGCTGGGACTCCCACACTGCCCCGCGCGGCAGACTAGGTTAATTTTCTATTTTGCCCCTAAGTTTTTGAAATATAACATCTCCCATCCCATCAAATGTTTACCCAGGAACAGTAGCAGTAGAAGCTTTTCTAAGGTTACAAAGGGATCTTGATCAAATGGCAGATGTAGTTCAATCTAGACAAATGTGCATTTTGGTACAACGTACAAGGGTAGGGCTTATACAATTAATAGTAGGACCTTGGGAGGTGTTGTAGAACAGAGGGACCTAGGGGTGCAGGTACGTAATTCTTTCAAAGTTTACATCACATATAGACAGGATGGTTAAGAAAGGTGTTGGGCACACTTACCTTCATTGCTCAGTCCTTTGAGTATAGAAGTTGGGAAGTCATGTTGAGGTTGTACAGAACATTAGTGAGGCCTCTTTCTGGAGTACTGTGTCCAGCTCTGGTCGCCCAGTTATAGGAAGGACATTATTAAGCCAGAGACGGTTCAGAAGAGATTTACCAGGATGTGCAAGATTTGAGTTGCTTTTAAAAAAAAGGCTGGATAAGCTGGGACATTTTTCACTGGAGCATAGGAAGTTGAGAGATGACATTATAGAGCTTTATAAAATAACGAGGAGCATAGATAGGGTCAATGGTAGTTGTGTTTTCCCTAGGATGGGGAATTTCAAGTCTAGAGGACACATTTTTAGGGTGAGAGGAGAGTGATTCAAAAAAACTCCTGATGGGCAATTTTTTTAAACAGAGGGTGGTTCAAGTGTGGAATGAACTTGCTGAGTAAGTGGTGGATGTGGGTACAGTTATAACATTTAAAAGATGTTTGGATTAGTACATGAATAAGAAAGGTTTGGAGGGAAATGGGCCAGGAGCAAGCAGGTGGGGCTAGTTTATGGGATTATGTTCAGCATAGACTGTTTGAACTGAAGAGTCTGTTTCTGTGCTGTATGCCTCTCATCAGCGATTTATCCCCTTAAGCCGGCTCCACTATTCAGTGATATCATGGCTCATATCTGTAGCCTAACTCCATATCCCTGCCTTTGGCCCATTTCCCTCAGGCCCTTTGCTTATCTCAGATTTAAAATAAACAACTGATCTGCTGAAAAGGTCACCCTGTTCGTAAGGTAAATTCAGTCATTTTCTGATACAGATGTTAAGCAAACAAGGCTGTTACATTCCAGAATTCCTCAGTTTTTTCCAAATGGTACAGTGATATGTGTAATTTTTGCTTTCTAAGGGAATGCTTTCCAAATTAATAGAAGTTTTGAGAATAAGTGAAATTTACTCAGCTACTTAAAAACCTAGGAGGAAAACATCTGATTCTAAGGATATGTCATTCTATTAAGCTGTGGTTTTCTTCATTAAGGCTATCTTACTCATGTTAATGAGATGTTTAAGACCAGCTACTTCTGCTTTTTCCTTCCTTCCCACCAGCTCGCTGGGTTAAACTTCTTTCAAAGCAGCCCAGCACCCCTAGCTGAACCCTGAACTTTCATTTTCCTCCAGTTTCTCTCCTATCTTCTTTCCTGTTCTTTTTGGTGTCCTCTTGTCAATAAGACCCAGTTACTGTTCCCCCAAGACCCTTATGAAACTGCTCACCATCCAGGTTCCTTTTCTGGTCCCCATTGTTTTTTTCCTGATTTAGAGTCATAGAGCTGTTCAGCATGGAAACACACCCTTCAGTCCAATTTGTCTATGCCAACCAGATATCCTAAATAAATCTAGACCCATTTGCCAGAATTTGGCCCATATCCCTCTAAATCCTTCCTATTCATGCACCCATCCAGATGCCTTTTAAATGTTGAAATTGTACCAGCCTCCTCCACTTCCTCTGGCAGCTCATTCTATACATGCAGCACCCTCTGTGTGAAAAAGTTGTCTCTTAGGTCCCTTTTAATTCTTTCCTCTCTTAGCTTAAGTCTATGCCCTCCAGTTTTGGACTCTTCCCTCCCTTCCTCTCCCGCCCACCCATTCACCCTATCCATGCCCCTCATGATTTCATGAACCTATATGAGGTCACCCCTCAGCCTCCAACACTCCAGGGAAAATAGCCTCAGCCTATTTGCCTCTCCCTACAGCTCAAACCCTGGAATCCTGGCAACATCCTTGTAAATCTTTTCTGAACCCTTTCAAGTTTCACAACATCCTTTCTATAGCAGGGAGACCAGAATTGCACTCAGTGTTCCAAAAGTGGCCTAACCACAACATGACCTACCAACTCCTATACTCAGTGCACTGACCAATGAAGGCAAGTGTAACAAAATGCCTGCTTCACTATCCTGTCTACCCTCTTTCAAGGTCTCTTTGTTCAGCAACACTCCCCAGGACTTGTCTTTTAAGTATTTAAGTCCTGCCTTGATTTGCCTTTCCAAAATGCAGCACCTCACATTGATCTAAATTAAACTCCATCTGCCATTCCCCGGCACATTAGTTTGTTTACTTTCTTCAGGTCTCTCTCCTTTAAATCTTCTGGCACACATCTCGTAGAACCAAGCCTTTTATCCACAATGCTAACTTTTTTTCATTATACATTCACGGGATGAGGGTATCACTGGCTACGACAGCAGTTATTGTCCATAGGGCAGTTAAGAGTCAACCATATTGTAGTGGGTCTGGAGTCACAGTTTACTTCCCTAAAGGACATCAGTGAACAATGGCTTCATAGTTATCATTAGACTCCTAATTCCAGGTTTTTATTGAATTCAGATTCCACTGTCTGCTGAGGTACGATTCAAACCCAGGTCCACAGAACATTACCTGGGTGTCTCTGGATTAACAGTTCAGTGATAATAACACTAGGCTGTTGTCTTGCCTTTGTGCTTGAGATGTTTGAATCTCTTCAATTATATTTCCATTCCTGCAAGAGAATTAAAAGTCAAAGCCACGGATGGTATCTTTGTGTTACTTTACCAAAATTAAAGTATTTTGCCAGTATCTTTGATGTGGTTGCCCACACTATCCTCCAGTGGCTCTCCATGATAGTCCAGCTGGATGGGACTGCTCTCACCTTGTACCATTCTTATCTACCTGTTCATAAACAGTGAATCACTAACAATGGCCTATTTTCGTTCTCTCAAACTGTTACCTCCGTGTGCCTCAAGGATCTATCCCAGGCCATCTCCTGTTTCTCACCTCCATGTTGCTCATTGGTGACATTATCTGAAGGCACCATGTTAGTATGCATAAGAGGGCTGCTGACTCCCAGCTCTACTTCACCACTACACCCCTCCATGGTTCTGATTATCTGGCATCCAATACTGCGTGTGTAGAAATATTCCCCAATTAAACATTGGGAAGACTGGAGTCCTTGTGCTCTGTTTCCTACGTCCTGACTCCACTGCTGTCCTTAGCCACTATCTGAGCCTGACTAACCTTTGTCTCATTCAACCTTGAGACAAGATTCCAACTTCATATCCATGGCATAACTAGGGCCACTTATTTCCACCTCTGATACCAACTCCACCACTTGCTCACCTCATCTGCTACTCAAACTCTCAGCCATGCCTTTGTTATCTGAAGATCTATCTATCTTGATTAGCTCGTATCCAGCCCATCTCTCTGTAGCCTCCATAAGCTCAGAACTCTGCTGCCCACTGTCTTCACTTATGCTGAGTTGTGTTCACAAGATAGCATGATGAAACAAAGGTGGTCACACCGCAGGCTCAGATTGCTCAGGCAAGCAATGGGTGAGAATCAGGCAGTGCAGAAGCCTCCTGTGGCTATTCCCCTGCAAAACAGATATACTACTTTAGATAACTTTTGAGGGCAATGGTCTCTCAGGAGAAAGAAGCAACAGCCAAATTCAATGCACTGCAGTTGACACTGCTGCACAGAAAGGAGTCAAAATGAGTGGCAGTGCAAGTGATAGGGGATTGAATTGTAACGGGAATAGCTGGGCATTTCAGTGGCTGTAAATGAGACTCAGGGTGGTATGTTGCCTCCCTCGTGTTCGGGTCAAGGATGTCTCAGAGCAGCTACAGGATATTCTGGAAGGGGAGGGTGAACAGCCTATGGTTGTGGGACACACTGGTACCAACAACATAGGCTAACAAAAAAGGATGAGGTCCTAAAAGCAAAATATAGGAAGTTATGAAGTAACTTCAAAAGTAAGACCTCAAAGGTAGTGATCTCAGGATTAATACCAACGTCAGGTGCTAGTCAGAGTAGAAATAGCAGGATGTATCAGATGAACACTTGACTAAAGAGATGGTGTGAGGGGTTTCAGGGGGCAATGGGACCAGTTCTGGGGGAAACAGGACAAATTATTCCTAGGCAGAACTGAGACTGAAGTCCTAGAACAGGTATTTGCTGGAGTGGTTGGGATGGGGTGAATTGAAATTGGGAACCTGTGCAAGGAGTCAGATGAAGGGGAATCAAGGACAAGAGCAAAAGACAGAAAGGGTAAGGATGTAACTAGTAAAGTTGATGAGGGGGAGCCAGTAGATGTAGTTTATTTGGA